CAAAACACCGTTTAGGTCCAACCCTGGGATGCAGGGCGGATCGTTCCAAAGTGGAGATGTCGCCTCAGCATCGCGCGTATCCGTCTTAAGGACTTGTCACATGTATGAGCATGGAGGCGGTTCTTCCGTGGGGCTCTCGCCTTGGCGCTGCGCACACTCTTCTTGAAACCCTGCGACAATTACGAAGACGAAGGGCGGTTTGTTCCAGAATGCGTCTCTCGCCTTAGCGCACATCCGCTTTCCAACATTGCAACAGGCATACTGATGGAGGAAGTTTCCTTTTCAGCAGGGGGGGCGTCGCACAATACTTTCCATACCAGCTGCAAGCTTGCGCAACAATCGCAGGGATGAGGGCAAGCTTGCTCTCAAAACGAGGCTCTCCCATGTACCTGCCGTCAGCTCACCACACCCGTAACATTGTGCAACCGCCGCGCGAAGGGGGGGCGGCTCCTTTTAAGAGGTGGGGCTCTCGCGTGAGACTTCCCCCCAAAACTTGCTGCTGGATCTGTGAATTTGCCCAGTCGTTGCAGAGGAGGAGGAGGAGGAGAAGGAGAAGGAAAAGGAGGAGGGGGAGGAGGAGGAGGAGGAGGAGGAGGAGGAGGAGGAGGTGGAGGGGGAGGAGGAGGAGGAGGAGGGGGAGGAGGGGAGGAGGAGGGGAGGAGGAGGAGGAGGAGGAGGAGGAGGAGGAGGAGGAGGAGGGGGAGGAGGAGGAGGAGGAGGAGATACGCAGGCTGAAGAGGGATCCGTCGCGCGGCGCGCCAACGGCCACTCGAAAACGGACCTGAGCCCGTGGCCCAGGTCCAGCGCTCGAAGCGACCCCCACCCAAAAGCCCATCAGAGAATCACGGCGGGGAGGGGGTCGGAACGCAGTGGCGAGCTTGGAAGATTAGAAGCTCTTATGGGAAACGATTAACGAGTTAATCATCCGAGTTGCAGCCAGTGCACCTCGGGGTCAGAAACTTGAAGCCTTCTCTGCCCTGAAATGGTCTCACGATGACGCAAGTCCGAGGGGTGGCGGTTCGTATTGAACCGAAGGATATGAGAGGCTCCACGTTTACTACACGGAGGCGGGGGACAAGCATCCAACAAAGCAGACGCACCCCCAGTCGAGATGGCCCCACAAGTGAGACAGATGACAACGTTGCCAGGAGAGACTCGCAACTCGTGCCCCCGAGCACTCCTGGGGTAAATGTCCCCTGAGACGGGCAGAGGGGCAAGGGGCCGAGAGCTGGGAAGACGCGAACCTCCCCGAGGCCCCTGGACACGGCGAAGCTTCGGCGCGGGCTCCCCCCGAGGCGCGGAGAGAGCAGGGCGCGCCTGAACAGCGCGGACGGCGTCGTGCAGGTCGTCGTCGCCAGCAGGGGCGAAGCTCACCCCTCTCCCTCTGTCAGGAGGGAGAGGGGCAGAAACACGAGCACGAACGACTCTCAAGTCAGGGGAAGAAGAGCGAGCGCGAGCACGAGCAGGAGCAGGACTCGCAGCCGCAGCAGGAGGGGCAGCGGAGGAGGAGGAGGTGGAGGGGGGCAAACCACGTGACACGACGGGAGCTCGAGGCTGCGCAGCCTGAGCTCGATCAACATCATGACCAGGAATCCCCCTCTCCCACGACACAGACGACGGCCCAGACTCAGCCCCCAAACCCAAGTCATCGTGAAACGCCGCCTCCTCAGCGATCATGAAATCCAAATCTTCAAAGCCCCCTGAAGCCAGGGGATCAGGAGTCAGAGCAGTGGGAGAGGTCGCAGCACCCTGCCTGGCACGCACATTCCTGCGATGGGGCGAAGCCAGACGAGCGCGGATCTGCCGAAGGGCCCTCCTCCCAGACGACGGCGACGGCGACGACGTCCGAACCCTCCCCCCACCGTCAGCTGGCGGAACAGAAATGCTAACAGGGGTAGGCTGGCTAGGCTCATACTCCTGAGAACCGACCTTGCTCCCCGAGACATCACCCGCAGAGCGAAGGATCCTCGCACAAAGAGATATCTTCGCAGGGCAACGGCGACGCGCGAATATCTTGCGCTGTTTGTCAGACCGGCAGGTCTTGGAGCACGAGGCGCATCGCCATCCGTTGCTGCACGGATAAAACACATGCAGGAGCCCTGGGTCAGGCGGAGCAGCCGCGCGAGCGGCAGCAGAGGCACGAGCCTTCCGTCGTTGCTCAAAACGATCCTGACCTGGGGCAACCGTTTCAGACATATACCTAGTATGAGCACGGGCCATCCAGGTGAGAGTCTTGCGAGTGGCCTTATACAGCCGTTTCATAAAGAGAGCATCAGAGTCTGAAACCGCATGCAAATCACGGCCCTGGGTGGCCGCAAAGTCGGCCCAACGGTTTCCACGGGCCTCAAAAGACATGCCCTTCTGGTGCCCTGGGACATGGAAAACCTGGAGCTCAGAACTCAAACCTCCTAGATCCTCTATCCTACGCCATATTTCGCACCACAGATCACTGTTTGGGCGCCTCGGAGAGCACCCCCACGATGGCCCACGAGCAAGGCCATCAGGCAGATCCAAGTAATCTGTGTAAATGGTGATCGGCAACATCGCAACTCTCAAAATCTGGACAACCGCATAAAGCTCAGCCCGTGGGGAAGTTTGAACTGGGCCAGGCAAGGCCCCATATACGCACAAAAGAATACGATGATCCCCGACTTGCACGAAGCCCCATCCAGCCCGAGAGGCCTCAGGCCAATAATGATATTTACGACAAGCACCGTCGGAAAACACATGCCCAGTGATAACCTGACAGTCTCCGCGCAACGAATGCCACGTGCATGAGTCATCCCTAGCAGGAATGGCTGGAAATACAGACCGTGGAAGTAAGCCGCGGGCCCAAAACCATGAAGTTGGGGCCGGGTGAGGAAGCGCAGATTTATCATGATCATCATACAAAGTGTTGCGCCCCTCCTCATTGCAGACACACGCCCACGGAATGTGGAAGACGTCGGCAGAGACCTCTGGACACAAAGGACACTGAGCAGCAGCAACATATCCGCACGAAGATCGACGAGCTGGAGTCCACAAACCTCCCGTGACCATGGCCCTCAGGGTGCCTGCAGTTTGATATGATAAGAGGTAGGGCTTATCGGGGTCCTCGTCCTGCCTAGCCTTACCCAAGAGAGAGACGATGGGCTCCAACCAGTACCCTGTGGGGCTCTTGGGGTCCAAGGTGCACGAGGTATCACGATCAGCCCGAGAGGCCCAATCCGACCACAATCGTCGCACGGCTGCAGCACGAGCCATATCTCGTACAGCAAGAGGAGACGCTTCACGAAGGTCGAGAACATCCCCTTGTTCAGTCCGAACCGCGAAAGCCGAGGACGAAACCCACCTGAGCGAACGAAAGGCGAGCAGCGTGGCCCCCGTGGGACCCGACACTGAACCCCATGGTTGCTTGGATGCATAAATAACTGGGGCCTGACGACGCCAGGCCTGTTGAAGAAGTGCATGTTGTGAACGATCCCAACACAGCAAACACCACTGATAAATAGGGTCCACCCATGCTGCGATCTGGGGGTCCTGAGGACATCCGCCATGCAAGAAGGATGATATCCACGACGAACCCGCACGACCTGGTTCATACCATACACTATGCATAGCCTTACGCATGGAATCGACGACGGCTGGAGGCGCACCGTGTACTCCCACCCCGTTGTTGAGAGCAGCAGGAACAGCAGATTTGGCAAACTTACCAGTGAGAGCCCCAGCCTTACGAACACGACGCAATCTAGGAAAGCGAGTACTCATCTTACGCACACGTGCACGAAGCCTCTGAAAGCGTAAAGCACGTCCTGAGGTGACCTCTATGCCCAGCACTTCTAGGGCCGACACATATCGATAACCGAACTTGCCGAGAGCACGACAAACTCGTTGAGCGATAGTAGGATAAGCACAAGTCACGGTCATCTTGCGCCTGGCGGGCGCCAAGTCAACGGAGCCGAACGCGCCCACCAACCCTTTCAACACATAACATGCGTGCTTGAAAATACTATCGACCTTAGCTTTGATATGTACCGTCAGGTCGTCAGCATACACGTGCAGCGCGCGATCAATGTGCACCGAGCTACCGTGCAACGCGTCGATCGGCGATACCAGAACCAGCTGTAATATGAACATAGCCATGCTACATCCTGGAAGTACTCCCCGAGAAGCAAACACAGGCTCCGAGAAAGCACCAGCCCAAGCTAACCGACGCTCGTACGTGTACATGCGCAAAGCTAGAGCCACCAGGGCCCCTGGGAACCCATGCTTGATAGCAGCTTGTGTGATGACAGCCCAGAGAACCCTGTCGAAACACTTCTCAATGTCCACGATGGCGTGAAGGCAGACAATGTCATCCCTCTGCGCCTTTTTCTGCGGTGGGTGAGCTTCACCATGCAACAGAACACGCGAGGCAACGTCCGTGGTCGCCCTGCCAGTGCCGAGCGCGATATACGGACGACCTAACCGATTGGCCCAGCTTCGTACATGATCAATGCGAGCCTTGGCCCAAACTCGATATAACGAAACCAAGAGAGCGATAGGTCGATAACCCCCTGCAGGTTTCTGGAGCAGCACGATATGCATATGCTGAAGATACCCAGGCCAGGAAGACCACACTTCACAGAGATGAAACATATATCCCAGGAAAGATAAAGCCCCATTCGACACCAGGGCCCAGTGCTTGGGCCTCCATAAGTCAGCACCTACAGCCGTCCTGGCAGGGAAGGCCTTGGCGGCCTTGCGGAGCTCCTGGATACCCATTGGCGGAAGCCGAGGACCCAAGTCGCGAAGCTGCGCCAAGTCGTGCTGCAGCTCGTCCAGAGAGGCTGGCGAAGACCCACCGTCCCATATGCCTTCCCAAAAATCCCGCTGAACGTTGGCCACGTCATCGGCGTGGCTCGACGGGCCCAGGGAAGTGTGGACCTGGGACAACTGCCACCCACGAGGTTTCGTCCAGCAATGTACAAGCTTAGAACGGCTGCTCAGACAATCCCTGAGCCATTTGACAAACCCCTGACCTCGAGATTGGACGGGGTGACGCAGAGGGTGCGGAGGAAGGCCACGTGGTACACGGACGGCTGCGCGAAGAAGCACGTGATGTAGTAGACGACCTCCTGAACCAAACTGGCGCCGAGCGCCGATGTGAGCCGCCGCAGCCGGCCCTGACCACCAACAAAATCAATGAGCGGCTGCCAGATCATGTTATGCTGCGGCAAGGGCGCACACCCGTGCTTGGCCACTACGTGCGCGAGGTCTTCCAGCCGATGCTGCAGGGCCCGAACAGCACGATAATGAGTAGTGCCAGCAGGTTGCTGGCTGCCCAGAGCACCTCCCGCCGTGGTCTTGCGGTAGGTGACCTGGTCTCCACGGCCTTGGTACTTGCCGTGCTCTGAGCAGTCAAACAGCGGAGCCAGCTCCTTCTCGGCGCCTGCGTACTGCTGTTGACACAGAAAGTCCAGACGTCCCGCACGCGACCTGTCATCACCAGGCCCGAGTTGAGCATCCTGACGCATCTTATCCACCCAGTCGATGCCAGAGTCGCCCAAGGGGACGGCGTCTTCGTCATCATCGTCCGAGTTATCAGAAAGAAGAGGCCTGCGAGCTGGCTTACCAGGCAGAACACGTGGGCCCTGCAGCTGCACAAGTTGACGAGCTCGAGGCCGAGGGCCGACTTGAACTCGCATTGAAAAGTGACGGCGAGGCGGATAATCTTCGACGCGACGAGCATCGGTCATTTCCGCCGCAAGGGCATCACTGGCGAGCCAGTAGTCCAAGAAAGTATAAGTGCCGTTTGCCGCAACCCGATGAGATCCAAGCGGAGCGACAATGAGATGGCCGTCGATACGCTCCACGAAAGCACTGTCGCTCAGCACCTGAGGGGAGACGTTCCAGTCACCACCGATGACGTATGGGGCGCGATAATATCTGAGCGCCTTGCCCAGCTGCTCGAGCCGAGGTATATTGTCACCCGTGAGTCCAGGACCCTGTTCAAGATAAATACTGCCTGCAACAAACCCTCCCCGAGGACCTGTATGGACGTGAACTGCCACGCACCACGACTTAACGAGCACATGATCGCGCACGCCAGGAAGAGCGTCCAGGAAGGTCGTGCCGACGTAGTGCCGAACGAACAAGCCAACTCCAGCCATCGGCTGACCCGTAGGGCCAGTCTTACAATCACTGATAAAGGCCTTCCACCCGTTGCGCTGGCACCATTCTTCTGCCTGTAGCCGCTGGCCCCCACGAACGTGAAGCTCCTGACACGCGACTATGAGAGCACCAGCGGCACCTTCCTCGAGAAATCCTCTGAGACGAGTCCAACCATTGGCGTTGTAGGTGAGAAAGGCAAGCGGCTTCCGTCTGCCTCGTCTGGGCGCCCGTCGAGCGGATGTTGGAAAATGAAGTCGATCAGCTGCTGGCCGTGATAGCCTCTCGCCGCTCACAGTAGTAGCCGAGCTCTGATTCAATTGAGCTGCCTGTGGATAAGATAGCCTCTCGCCGCTCAAACCACTGGAAGCCGTCATAGTAAGATTTGCACGCTGCACTCCCGAAGGTCGGTACGACCCGCCCCTCCGTGCCCCCCGAGGCGAGGACGACGAGCCATGCGTGCCGACGGGACTAGGTCCCGAAGGTCGGTGCGACTCGCCGCCAAGTGCCCCAGAGAGCTGAGTACAACCACGGGTAGTTCAGACAGGGGCAGATCGTCCAGAGAACAAACCTGATTGTTGAACAGCCGTGGCATCACAAAGTGTACGAAAGAATCAACTGCTTTCCTCCATCGCGGCCTCAGCGGCAGCGGCATCCTGGGCCTCCTGCAGCTCGAGGAGGGGTGCCCATGGGTGTGCCTGCGGAGTGCCTGGGGCGGCGACATTGGCTTGAACTGCGGACTGCAACTGCGCCAGCTGGTCCTGAAGGGTCTGAAGCATGGTCGGGGTGTTGCCTGCAAGTATCGCCGCAGAAGCACCTGCCACCACCGTCTGGAGTCGGCCCATGGCTTCCTGCACGGATAGTACATCTGATCCAGCAGGCTGGGCGGTGGCAGCGAGTACGGCTGTCCTGGCCAGGTGAACCTCGGACTGGATGTTCTGCAACTCCGTGGTGGCCTGGACGAGCGCCGACTTCTTGTCACCAAGCTTGGTTTCCAACTCAGCGACTGCTTTGGTAAGTTCATCCACCTCTTTGGATTTGGCGGTGTGCCTGTCCAGAGATCGACGAAGCATATCGTCTGGTGTCCGATGAGCTTGCTCACGCTCCTCGGCCAATTGTAGATCACGTCGAGCTTGTTGGACCACTGGGGCGTCGTCACCCAGCCCGCACTTCCGCAAGGCCGCCAATGCTCGCCGTGCCTGGGCAACTCCATCAGCGGGGCTGGATGCACCGCTGCTGTCACCGTCAGGTTTCTTATCCTTGTCCTTTCCTCCAGAGTCTCGGGGACGGGAGGGAGGTCTTCGTGAAGGTGGTCGCTTCCGTGGCACAAAACTGGGATCAGGTACACCACGGCGGTCGCGACCGCACTGATAGCAATTATCGTTGCTGGCGTAATTGCCCTCGAAGCCGCACTGGCGTGTCGCCACGCATGCCCATCTCGGCTCCTTCTGGACTTCTGGCTTTCGACCTCGTCGGGCACCATTCCCGTCAGAGTCGGGGGCGGCACCGCGCATGAGAGGCTCCTGAGACCCGTGATGCTTATTCAGTAAGGCCTGCAGCTTGGCAATCTTCAAGAAGCGCCTGGCGTCCGCACGAGCCCGACGACGGGCCCGATGCCAGGCAGGTGAACGAGATCGCCCTGCGGGTATGATGTATGTCGACCCGTGCGTGGGCGCGCACGAGCCTGGGGCGGGCAGTGCAGTATCAGGCAGTGCAGGAAAAACGCACCGCAGGGAAAAGTCTCCCACGGCCTAAGCCCACGCCTGGAGGAGGAGGAGGAGGAGAGGGAGGAGGAGGAGGAGGAGGCGGCGGAGGAGGAGGGGGAGGAGTGAGGAGGAGGACGATCTGCAAATTTGCCCAGTCGTTGCCCGGACGTGGAGGGCGGCGGCTCCCTGTCACGCAGGGGCTCTCGCGGGACGCCCCGTGTGGAGTTCCGCGATGATGCCGCCCTCACGCCGTGCTCCTCGCAACTCTGCCCGAAAAGGGTGCAGGGCGGTGCCTCTGCTCCTCCTCCTCCTCCTCCTCCTCCTCCCCTCCTCCTCCTCCTCCTCCTCCTCCTCCTCTCCTCCTCCTCCCCCCCCTCCTCCTCTTCCCCTCCCTCCTCCTCCTCCTCCTCCTCCTCCTCCTCCTCCTTCCTCCTGCTTCGCTCGCGGCACGGGCCCCGCCCTGTGGACCGGCCAAAGCGGGGGGCTCTCACGGGAAACGGCAGCCCCGTGGGGTGCTCCTCGTCTCTCCACGGGGCGTGCCCAGCAGCTAAAAATTCAGAGGGCCTGCAGGAGCCGGCGAGGGGGAAGCCTGGGACCCGCGGGCGTCTTGCCGAATCGTTGGTGCTTCCTGGTTGCTCTCGTCCTACTCTCCCTCCTCCTCCTCCTCCTCCTCCTCCTCCTCCTCCTCCTCCTCATCCTCTGGCCAATCCTCCTCCTCTTTCATAACTGTTCCTTGGCATCCCCATCTGCTTCCTTCACCTCTTGCGCGTCATCATCCTCCTACTCATCTTCCTACTCGTCCTCCTCCTCATCATCATCGTCATCGCGCCCAAATCTCCGTTTTCTCCCCCCCAAGCGCCTTTACTAAAACATCGGCAGGTGTATGTCAGGACGTTGATGGCGACGCAGAAGGCGATCCCGAACTTCAGCTTGAACATCTGCCCACGCGCGGCATGGATTGGAGATTGGGAATTGGGTTGGATATCTTCGAAGGTGGAGACGACTAGATTCCCCAAACAGTGATTGCGCCTAGGGGTTCTCATCTCTCTCAAAGGAACTGGGCATGAAACTTGGTTTGGCGGCCATGTGGTCGCCGTCACCGCTCCGTCGCCACCTCGTCGCCGCCCGTTGCCGCCGATGGATGCCACTACATACATCGCACGGGGAAAAAACGCGCCTGCGGCGCGCTTACTGATCGCTCACGACATGGATTGCACCACATAGAATGTACAACATGAGCTGTGCCACATAGATTGCGCAACATATATTGCACAAGTATATAGCACCCCGCAATTGCGGATAAGAGTGAGGGGGCGGGCGCGGGCGACGCGGGCGTCGTCGAGCCGGCGGACCTCGTGGCCCCCACCTTCCTTGTCGATGGCGCTCTCCTCCACCTCCTCCTCCTCCTCCTTCTCCTCCTTTTCCTCCTCCTTCTCCTCCTCCTCTTCCTCGTCCTCATCGTCATCGTCATCCTCCTCCTCCACCTCGTCCTCCTCCTCCTCCTCTTCTTCCTCGTCCTCCCTCTTCCCCCCTCGTTTTTTCATCATGGTCCTACCATTGTCGTCCTCCCCCTCGTCGGCCTCCATCATCGTCCTCCCATTGCCGTCCATCATCATCATCCTCCCCATCCTCCCCCTCCTCGTCCTCCTTCTCCCCCTCCTCCCCCTCCTCCCCCTCGTCCTCCTGCTCCTCCTCCGTTTCTTTCTCCACGTTCTCCTTACATCCTCTCTTCTTCCACGTTCTCCTCGTCCCCTGTTTACTCATCCTGCCTCCCCCTCCTTTCCCAAGATAACTGCAACGCAATCCTTTTTTCCACTTTATGCTCCCCGCCTTCTCTGATCAAGGCAACTCGCCATGGCAAAGTTGCTGGACGGGCTGGCGTGGATGTGCGGGGCGTGAAGAGGTCCTTGCGGGCTCAGACGGCATGCAAGAATCCGCCGCCGCGCTTGTGCGGCATTGGTTTGTTCAGTGAACGTGGTTTGGGTCGCGGGTGGGCCGCGGGTTTTCCACAGGGAACGAATGCAAAGGATGCCCGCCGCAGGCGCCGAAAATGTGGTTTGTACCCTGAACGTGGTCGCGGGTCGGCCGCGGGCTCTCCACCTGAAACGAATGCACAATATGCCCGCCGCAGGCGCCGAAAAATGTGGTTTGTACCCTGAACGTGGTTTGGGTCGCGGGTTGGTCGCGAGTTGGTCACGGGATGTGTCGCGGGCTCTCCACTTGGAAGGAATGCAAAAAAAAACCCGCCGCAGGCGCCGAAAATTGTGGTTTGTACCTTGAACGTGGTTTGGGTCGAAGGTGGGTCGCGGGTGGGTCGCGGGGTAGGTCGCGGGTGGGTCGCGGGTGGGTCGCGGGTGGGTCGCGGGTGGGTCGCGGGTGGGTCGCGGGGTGGGCCGCGGGGGGGTCGCGGGGTGGGTCGCGGGTGGGTCGCGGGGTGGGTCGCGGGGTGGGTCGCGGGGTGGGTCGCGGGGTGGGTCGCGGGTGGGTCGCGGGTGGGTCGCGGGTGGGTCGCGGGGTGGGTCGCGGGGTGGGTCGCGGGTGGGTCGCGGGGCGGGTTGCGGGTGGGACGACGACA